GTCTATACAGCTTCGCTCAGGCTTTGAGGGTACCTGTTAACACGGCCGCAACGCCAATACACAGACCAATGAAAATCGAAATAATGTGCTACATATACTTTAAATGTATGAGCTCAAACAATTGGCTAATATCAATTACATAGGATGGTGGATGTGACAGTTTTTCAGATCGGGAAGAACTGCGAACGTGAAGCATGGAGATCTAACTTTTAAGGCACGCTCAAGTCTGTGCTAAGCTCTGACGAGCTTTTTGCTATGTAGGAGAAACGGGCCAGCCTATTTCTAGGGATTTCGGTATTGTTTTTGCCATCTGTCATCGACATTGTTATTGAAAGTGGTGACTTTGTCACTTTCAACAATGGCAAGTAGTCATATGATACTCCACGTCAGCGAGACGGTAAAGCATTGTTTTTCTTTTTGGACGTGATGACGAAAACGATTAACATGCTATTGATGAATGGAACAAACTGTGATACCGGTCTATCTATGTAAGACATCCCGCGGCGTCGAAAGCGCCACCAGACGACCCCGAACGGAGACACCGTGAAACAGACTAAAACATACTGCCATCGTTCGATCACTGTAACCACCAAAGTGCAGCTTCCAGCTGATTCTCGTCTTTCGCTGCGGTACAATAGCTGTCGATTTTTCACGCCCTCTTTATACTCATGTACATAACGCAATATACATGAGTGCGTGAGCCGCCTGATTTCTCCTTTGGCATTTCTTGTCATCTCAAGGTTGCCAGAGAGATGCGATGCATGGTGTACATATATATGTATGTACATATAAAATTTAACATAGCGTTTCACGATGAAACGGAACAGAATCTCGCCATGGCGTACCTGCTTAAAGTGCTGCTCAGTTACCGCTGTAGTCGACTCACCTTATTTTACTGGTGGTCACTTTTTATTTATACAATGAATTTGGGATCTTTTTCAGGATTTTGATCGGAAGTTCTAAACATCGTTCATGGTTAAATACATAAGTAGAAAACAAATGTAAATGGTGCTTAAGGAGCAAATAATGACTCTTTATTGCTTTCTTACGAAGGAGAGATAGTTCATCATGATTATGTAAACCCGTTCTGAAACGAACACAGACACTAATCAAACGCTACGCAATGTATTACTGCCATTATTATTATTATTATTAGCGAAAGTCCTCTTCCTTTCACTAAAACGATACATTTGGGTCCAATATCAGTACAGTATACGGCTGTGAAGTTAGTTTTTATAAGAAATCTATTTCATGTGTATCAAAGCCCACTGTTAGTTGCATTCACTGACATTTTATCGAGTACTGTAGCATATTGTGGGATATTGCGCAGTTATCTGTTAACCTAATTAAGGATCGAGGGATTCTACACTGTGTCACGCGCCATCGCTTGTCAAAACCGTTCGTCTCTCTGTTGCGTAGCGGAGCATGTCATTCTTATTGCTGCAGCTTTTGCCCCACCCTGCCACGATCTGTTGTCAACAAAACTTTTTAGACAACCGCATCGTTGCATTCTGTCGGTTGAAAGATAAACGACGACGGCAAGAAGGATACCATGTCAAAGTTATGACAACAGATGGCACGGCGCCGTAAGTGTCATCCAGAATATGTTTACGGGTACATTCACTTTTAGAGCCAGGTCAAGTATCAAATCGTACCTTTTTATATAGTAGGGTATATACTACACACATGGTAAACTGGTCATTGGTGCACTGAACAATAAGCGAATAAAGAAGAGTACATGTTCTTAGGAGGTCTGAAGATTATTGAGGCTGATGAGTGTCAGCACAGTGTGAGGCTCAGCAATGAATTGGACACGCGTAAATTGACTGAAAGGCAGCTTGGTCAACTTTGAGGTTAAGCAGAGCTCCCTTCATAAAACGCTTTGTATACATAACAAATACAGCAGGTCGCAAAAAAAATCCTCAGAGTATTCGACGTGAGCTTCGAGGGGAACACAAGTACTTGTGGGCAAAATGGAGTGCACAGCGCCGGCGTGAAGCAGGCTTTTTCCTGAAGAGAGTGTGTTTACTAAAGAATGAGCGAATAAATGATCAAATGGATGTGCCTAAACTTGAAAAGAGAAGAGGCCATTTATCCATTTGCGAGGCCGTCGCGTAAGTAGTCGAGAGCAAGTCAGGCCACCTTCAGCGCTCTGTATAAACGATGGGCTTAAATGTCCGGTATGATTTGATGCTCCCAAAAGATATGTAAAGTATGTACGAGTTGTATTGTTAACGTGGATGATTTCATTCATCATGAAACATATGGCACAAATGGTTAATCGGCACTCGAGTGGCAGTTATTTGATTCTCCACGTTAATTTCTTTTATAGGGTCATTCTATATTACTCACTGGTTTTCCAGCTGGGATATGTGTGTGTATATATATATATATATATATGCTACAGTTTTCATAAATTTACTTTAAAAATCTCATATCGCTTCGAGCGAAACGGACTCTTGTACCTTATCTTTCTCTTTCTGAGAAGTGAATATATTAATGACGTTTAGAGATACCCGTTTTACATTTAGGTACTTAGCATGGTACTGGTCGAAAATCCCTTAATTGTAGCAGCCACTAAATTAACACGATCCTTTCCGCGATCGGTGTTGCGTCAAAATTTGCTTGAAGATTAAGTTGACTCGATTTGTAGCTTTCAGCACATGAACCTACCAAAATGGTGAAGTTAGTGTACATCAACTTTTAATTAGCAAGAAATAGTTTCTCTCTATATGGTAAATCCGATAGGTCCGATAATTAACTTGATAACGGTACGCTCGATTATAAATATATCTAGTCGTTAACTTAATAGAACTAGAAAATGTTATCTCGTTATTTTATATAGCTCTCTAATGAGAGTCTCAGTGGCCAGTCTAGGATGCGCCTTATAGATGTCTGAGCGCTTATAAAGTAAATCGGGTTTTGCTTTTTTGGCTAATTTATCTATAAAAAGCTGTTGGGAGTCACAATTTTGACGACAACTGCATGTTGTACATGAAATATCTTCCAATTACTGATAGTTTCATAGTTTCTTGCGATACCGTACAGTGGCATAGTGCTGAGCAGAGTTCTGATAATTGATCTGTTTTATTATATTATTAGCCTCACGAATAACCTGTCTAGCGGTTATAGTAATTATTTGCGCAATCCATTTATAATGATAATATAAGAATCAGTGGCTGAAGTGAACCCCTTGAGTTACTGGAGGAGAAGCACGCCAAAGGACATCTGTAAAATTGCCAACTAGGTTGTCATAGGTTTCTTGCTGGCGATAGGGGTTACGCGGCTGCCATAGGCATTAACACCTTCAGCGCCACGTATGGGGAACAGGCTCAACGTGCCCGGACATTACCGCGAATTGTTATAGAAATATCTTCACCTACCGGTCGATCTCTCGGCCGATTAAATCGCTCGAGCAGTTCGCCGCATCTTGGCGGCGGTACGGCGAAGCAGCTGCTTGTACAACATGAGCACGATCAACGAATGGCACTTCGGAAGGTCTCGACTGCATACCCCCCGCATCGCGGTGTTGCTCATCGAAACATGGCACAAATCCACAGCGCAATTGATCTCCATCAGGCTGTTGATGTCATAGAAGAACACAGAAGCAAGTTCAGGTATTGCTCGGGATCCTGTACGGCAGAGGATGCAGCCATTAGCTTGAGAACTTTGCGGTCCTCTTCCACTTCAGCTTCTATCGGTGAACCACCCGAGGTCAAAGATGCATCCAGTAGGCCGTTGCTTTCGGACCACAAATCAAACTTCAGACACAGCAATGTACAGATTTCTACTGTCTCGGCATCAACTTCACACAGGTGGATGAACGATTGATAAATATTACATCAGCATCTGGTCCCTAAACGAAACTTGCATTCGATGGAACGAGGAAGTATGCTACGAGGATGGCTGTTATCATGGAAACTTTATTGCATGCTATGTCGAGGCCATATTGCAAGAAGTTGAATTGTTCTGACAAACGGTCGATACGTACTGTATGATTCTGTTAACATTTAGCCGTTGGGAGCGTTACTTGCGTGTCCTTCCGGACTGTAGACTAAGTACTAATAATGAAGCCATCCGTATTTAAAGCTGTATTAAACAGAAAATACTGATTTCCACGATTCTTAACTTTGAGAACAATGCATCGAAGCTGAGAATTGATGAGACTGCTGAATATAATTGGTTCCAAATCGTCGATGAAAAAGTTCTAATGCATCGCAGGGGTTAATGGAAGATTTCAGGTTTGACTCGATTGCCGAGGGTTCTCTTGTTCCACGTACAGGTTAAGGACAAGTAAACTGTAAACTTAGTAGAGTTTTCCAACTTTTGTCCTTGGGTCCATTTGTATAAAATCCAACTTTTTTTTCCGCTTACACCGCCGCCAACAATTATATTATAAGCTCTTTTGAGAAACAAAGTATGAAATTGTCGTTGATGGAAACGATGGAAGAAGGATCACCCATAAAAATAATAGATCTGAACGCTAACATGTATTTGTACTTCGAATGTATACGGTCATCTCAATCGTGCACCATACCACATTTGGACCGGTATTAAGTGACAATAAAATAAGCGCATGTTCTCCATCGACGTGCACACAATTATCGATCGTATGGCACATGCGCACTCAAAAGTAACTGTATTATTATTATTATTATTATTACGTGCATTTGCATTTTGCATCGTGCCTAACTCAACAAAGATCACTAGCGCATTAATTACGAAATACTCCAAACAAATCAAGCTAACATTTAAGAACTAAGCCCGCATTATATGCGTACGTTATTGAACTTCGTTGCGATATTGTTGCTTTTTTAAATTAACCCCTTATCCTTCAGATAACCATTTCATGATAAATCTACTCTTAGATTGACCTCCTGTTTTTTTCTTGTGTAGCGCAAATGTCTTGATTGCTGCATTCAGCTGCATCTGTGTTTCTTGGTCACTTTATCTACTAATGGACGACTTTAATGGACCTTCGTTCATTTTTCCTGTTTTAGTAATTACGCGGCAGGTGGCGCTGGAGGAATCGATAACAAAATCGAACAAGCAATGGATTTGGTCAAAAGTCATCTTATGTTCGCTGTCAGAGAAGAGGTGCGTATCTATCTAATACCGAGTGTATTTATAGATTGATGTATTTTTGATGCATTGGGCATTTCAAGCTGACAGTCTTTTTACAGCATTCATAGTTAACGGTTGTGTGTGTATTGAAACGTGAAATCTGAAGGAAAATTGTTATTATTAGGAACCGCGTCAGTACGGCTGTTTCAAGCTATCGGTCGTCGAAATGGTATCATTGCAGAACATATCTCCAATTGCGTTGCTGTTTTATTTGCCATTAACCATCGTATATACACGTGTGGATATAAATTAATTATTGACTATCTTAACGTCTTGTACGGTTTTTGTGTTGTTGTTGTGACTACTCTGGTGCTCTTTGCCTCTTCGTGCGCAATAATTTACGCCTATCACCCACAGGTGGACGTCTTGCGGGAAAAGATCACCGAACTGAACGAACGTAATGAACAACTAACGCAAGAGATTCAGCTGCTAAGGTCTCTATTAACGCCCGAGCAGGCAACGACGTTTGCGCAGCTTTTGCAGCAGCAACCGCATGGGAAAGCAGGTGCAGGAGGCGTGGGTGGTGGATCAGGACGACCAGGCCACGCGCCGCCGACATCGCTACCAGCCGCGACTGGTAGTGGAGTCCCGCGTACAGCTCCATCGTTAGCGGCGTTCGGTGTTCCCGCCGGAACAGCTAGTCGACCAACGGCGGCCTCCGCCGCCGCTGCTTCCACTGGTGCCCTGCCCGGGACGCCGGGCACGCCCCAGCAGAGTGCGGCGGCGATCGGAAAGGCATCGCATCCCGCCATCGTTGCAGCAGCTACGGCCGCTGCAGTTGCTGCATCCCCATCGAGTCCGGGCACCGCGCCGGTTTCAAGTTTACCTACTAGTTTACCCAGTGGAGTGAGCGGCAATCTGCCTCCGACGACGACCTCATCCGCGACGCATAATAGCCAACAGCAGCAACAATCAGCGACAACGACAACAACAATAACTCAGACGTCTGCAACGACAATAGCCACGAGTAGCTCTGGTGCGCTAGCCAGTTCTGCGAACGCGATTGGCGGTAGCAGTAGCGTGTTAACCCACCAGGGTGGGCCACCGTCAAAAGAAAGCACACCTCCCGGGGGTGGGGTGCCACCTCCGTCTACACCAGCGCCGCCCACCAGTAGGCAGTAGCAACTGGCCAAGTTAGGGTATTCAATTGCTGCAACACCTGCTGCTGCTACTACTAGTACTGTTGTTGTTGTTGTTGTTGTTGTTGCTTCGGACGCCGCAGGCCGGCTTCGGAAAGACGCTACACGGTGGATT